AGGGACCAGTCCGACCCTTGTGGAGGGGGCTCGCTGTGAGCACCAGCCCAGCTCCATCAGCCCAGCCCCTCTGCTCACCGCGGCTCTAGGAGGAGGATTAGGAGGGCCACAAGACACTTCTGTCCACCCCTCCCTTCCTCTGCCTTCTGGGTGCCCAGTGGTCATGGGCCCAGGCCTGCACCGTGGGTTGCGGCCCCTCACTAGGCTTTAGTGGTACATATAGACCAGCTTACATGAGACAAGGAGACAACACAAAGCCTCTCCTACCTCCCATTTTCCCCCTCAGATCCAGCCGCTAGAAAGCATGGTGTCAAACTACCTCCAGGACAAGGTGCAGCAGCTCCTCTGGCTTCCTCTGAGTTTTGCTACCTGGCTTTCCTCTTGCCCCAATTTTCTCATGTCTTTTTCATCCTGTTATCCTGAATTTATCTTTGCAAATCACCTCAAGTCTTTTCTGGAATCAAAGAACACACAAGACCCTTTCAGACACCTTCCCTCCCCTGCTCTGGGAGCCTGGCACAGTCCCTGGTCTGAAAGAAGCTGAAATGTGAGCTGTGTGAACAAACCAACAAACCAATGAATGCATGCAAGGAACAGCCTCCATCAGAAAGGGGAACAGCCTGAGCAGAATCCAGATACCAGGCAGCAAAAAAAATCCAAAACGCCAAATGTCTTTCCCTCCCTCAGAGCGCCTCAACTTGGAAGAACCAAGCTAGAAAACCAGGGACTGCTCCTAAGCCTCAAATTCCACTCTTGTAGCAAAGAGGTCAAAAGGGCAAAGGAGGATGTGAATGAGGAGTGGGTGTCTCTCCAGGCTGCAGCTGGAGTCGAAAGTGGATTCCAGGCATGGAGCAAGAGCAGCTCAGCAGAGACAGAAGCCGTTAAGAGGAAAAGGCCCCAAACTTATGCCTTGTTAATAAAAACCACCTGACCTGCTCTGCTTTCTACTCAGAAGGGAAACATTTCATTACCATTCTAAAGCATTTCCTCTGAAAACATGAGTTTTGAATTACGGTTTCTATTCATTGAGCCTGGCCTCACAGCCCAGAGAAGGGAGTGGTGGGACAGGGTGGCTCAGGTCCCATGCTGGCACCCAGACCCCCAATCCCCAGGTCCCAAGGGGAGGGATCCTCCTCGGCTCCCGAGCCAGGGCTGGGGGAGGCCGGAGATGCGCAGGCCCTGCCCTCCCGCCCTCCCCTCCCAACACAGGCCAAACCAGAGGGCTCCGGCACGTCCCAACAAATCATGCTGCTGGGTGGTGGGGACCCATGCACCAGATGGTGGCCATGGCCTGCCCCTCCCATCAGACCGTGAGCTCTCAAGGACAGGGGTGTCCCCATTAGCCTGTCCTGCCCCAACACACAGCACACACCATCCACGCAGCCGACGCTGTACCAGCTGTGCCCAGCACTGACCCCACCCAGCCCCAGAGACCATGAGGCCTGCCCCTACCAGCTGGGAGGATGGGGTGGATGCCCTCACTCCAGCTGGGCCTAATGGTCTCTCTGTCACCCTGAGATTGAGGGACTGTCCCTAGGAGGTGAGGTCCTGTGGCCTCAAGCTGAAGCCACCATTCAGGGCAGCCACAACAACAATCAGAGAGCCAGCCTACAGCGAGAGAAGAAGGGACAGAGGCTGGGGGGAGAAGTGCAGAAAAAGAAACCGCAGTCCAGAGAGAAGGAAGCACAGAGGCTGCCTGCCAGCTCCCGGGTCCTGGGGGAGCCAGGCCGCCTGCAACTGTTTGCTACACAAGTTCCCATGCTTTCCTCTTCACTCCCTTTTCACTTAACCTAATTGGAGGAGGTTCTTGTTCCCTGCAACAAAATAACCCCAAAGACACAGGTCAGGCCCTCCCTGCCCTCGCTCACCAGGCCAGCCCTTCTCATCAAGCCATGCCCACTACTCAGTTTAGAGACGCCAAGGCACATCTGGGTGGGGCCAGCATGGAAGCATGGGCAGAGCTGTGCTGGGAAACTGAGGCATAGCCAGCTGGGGGTGGGCTCTGAGAGCCAATGTTTGGACTTTGTACTTGAGCAGATGTGTAGGGCAGCAGTGTCTGAGGTAGGCACAGCCAAAAAACGTGCTGTAGTGAACCGTCCTAGGTAGAGAAATGCATGGTGAAGGGGGCATGTTTCCCAGGCACACACTAGGTGCTTAACAAATGCATAGAAGGCAAACAGGGAAACTTCTCAATGCCTTGATATCCTCAGGTGCATAACGTAAGCAATTAAGATATTAATTTAAGATATCTGCAAATAATACGGGCATTTAGAGAGCTCAAAACAGTTCCTGGCATACAGTAAGCTCTCTATCTGTGTTGTTTTTAAACCTATATAAAGGTTGACATTCTCCCCAAGAACCACTGGGCAGATGCGTTCTGGTTGTCTGTGTCCTCCTAAATTTATATGGAACCTAACCCCCAAAGTGATGGTGTCAGAGGTGGGGCCTTTAGGGGGCGATTAGGTCATGAGGGTGGCACCTTCATGAATGGGAATAATGCCCTTATAAAAGGGACCCCAGAGAGCTCCCTCACCCCTTCCACCATGGGAGGATGCAAGGAGTCTGCCACCCAGAAGAGGGCCTTTACCTGACTGTGCTGACACCCTGATCTTGGACTTCCAGCCTCCAAAATTGTGAGAAATACATTTCTGTTGTTCACAAGCCAGCCAGTCTGTGGCATTTGCTACAGCAGCCCAGACTAAGACAGCAGGGAGTCAAGAGGGTCACGCATGCAGCACCCCTCCTCTGGGCATGGAAGCAGAGGTAGGATAAATGGCATCGAGAGGGCAGGATCAATCGCTAGGGTGGCAGGGAGGGAGGGAACTGCCCCCAGAACAATGCAAAGAGAACAGCCGTGGGAGGAGGCTGCAGTGAGGCTGGGAGAAGGGCCTGGGGAGAGGGTAACGGGCAGTAAGTACTGCCTGCTCATGGACCAACAACTGGGAGGGGATGAGCCGTGTGTGTGTGTGCATGCACACATGTGTGCTGAGGGCCACTCAGTGCAGCAGTTAGAACAAACACTGGGCATTTGCTCTGTTACAGACACACTTTACACACATCCATCCATTCACTTTTCTCAACATCCCCAAAGGTAGATATCATAAACTTCCTCATTTTATAGATAGGGAAATTGAGGCAGAGAACTATAGTGACTTGTCTGAGGTCACTCAGCTAGTAAGTGGTAGAGCTGGGATTTGAACCCAGGCTGTCAGGCTCCAGCATTAAAACTCTTAACCACCAAAGCTGACAGCTGAAGCAGAGAAAGGATTGGTGCCCTGTGGGTGGATTCCCCACTTGGGATTGTGGGCTATGGGTGCAGAATGCCAGGCACCACTTCCCCAACCTGCTGGGTGCACCTGGGGGCTTGCAGGTGTGTGAAGGACACACTCCTGTGTGCAGAGGCTCCTCCAAGGTCCCCTCCACCAGGCTGTCTTAAGAGCTCCTCTCCATCTCTACCCCTCCACCCCCACCTGTCCCACATCACTCCTGGGTCAGGCACTGCAGACACCAGTGCATCCTGGTGGGCTTACTGCTCACAGAGGGTACCTGGGGGCCCCCCTGGGAAAGCAGGCAGGACACAACAATCCCCTCCCTCAACAGAACTTCACCTGCCTTAATCCGCATGCCCCAGTCACCTATATTCTTTGCTGCTCCTCTAACCCAACAGCCACCAGGCCTCCTGCCTTCTCTCCTAACTCCAAACCCTGCCCTCTCTATTTCCTCTTTCTCGAGCCCCCTTTGGCATCCTGGCAGCCAGCTTCCACGTGGTGCTCTATCAAGCTGCCGCTCCACCGCATCCTCCAGGTGCCCTTGTCTGTGCTCCCAGCTCCCCACCACTGAACTCCTCAGATGCCACCGCAGGACTGTGCTCCCTGGAGGGAGCGAGGCCCCTGTTCAGTGTACCTGCCAGCTCCTGGAAGTGCTGGGCCAGGTGACAGCAGCTGGATGAATGAAGGGCTCATTGTTTACATTACAACTGGTTGGGAGTCTCCCCCACGTGGTGCTCCCTGCACCCTCCTCCTCCTCTGCCCTCAGCCCTAGGCCAGCCCCACCCCCACTAGCCTCCCTAGGGCATCTTACATGTGATGGCTGTCCCCCTCACACTGGACTCCCACTTCTCACCCAGAAAGAAGGCTGGGACTCAGAGGCTGGGGTATGCAATGCTGGGTGGCTCCCCCAAGATGCCCCCTCTGCCCCTCTCTCCCAAAGTGGGACCGGAGCCTGCGTGGCAGTGCCCAGTGGACACCCAACCCCACCCAGGCCCCGCCTGAAGGGTCCAAACGGGCAGGCCCTGGACGCCCAGCGAAGCATCCTCAGCGGCCGTAGCCCCTCCCAGTGGGGAGGGCAGAAAATATGCTGCCTCACCAGCCACCAGCGCCCGTTTGGGGGGGCACCCCTGCGGTAAACTGCCTTACCCCGGCCTCCCCCTACCAACTCCGCCCTGCACTTCAACCAAGTTTTGCAAAGGGCATCGGCCAGGCGACCCCAGCCTGAGGTGGAGGTTCCGTGTTCTCCCAGACGGCGCGTCTGGAGAAGGGGGCTGTGTGGCCGCGCCCACCAGGCTGTGCACTCCGGGCCTGTGAGCCCAGGGAGCCCTGCGGCGCTGCGGCGCGCGCGCCCAGGAGCCCCGCGCTGCCCTTGAGAGGTGGACAAGCGGCCTCCCGTGGATGCGCCGAACCCCCGTCCGGGGAGAGGGGCACCGAAGGAGCTGGTGATACCTTCACCAAGGGGACCCGCAGCCCGGGAAGCGCCCCGCAAAGCCAGCAGCGCCCTCTCCTCGCCTGCAGGCAACGGAGAAGTTGGGGGTGCACCCTAGGACTCGCGCCCGCTCACGCCCACCGGCGGCCCCGACTCCCGGCCTTTCCCACGCCTCGACATTCCTTCCGCCACTGCCGCCCGCTTCTGCCGGGCCGGGGCGGCCGCCGCCGCCGCCTCCCGCATCCCTTTCTCCTTTGTTGCCCGGCGAGACCCCTCCCTGGAGGTTCCCCGGCTGCTCCTACCTTCGCCCCTCCAGCATCTCGCTGGGCGGCGGGCAGCCCGGCGCCCGGCCTCCTCCTCTCCCGGCCCAGGCGCCAAGGGGGGAGAGGATGCTGCGGCCCCCGCCCGGCGCGCTGCCCACCGGCCGCAGCCCCTCCTGGCACCGGGGCTCTGCGCTCACGCTCGGGCCCGGGCCTCGCGCCGCGTCCGCAGCCGAGCGGCGGCAGCGGCGGGAAGGCGGAAGGCGCTGATCGAGGCCGCCCAGCCGCCGCCCGCGCGCTCCGCGGCCGAGCCGAGGTGAGCTGAGCGGGACGGAGCGAGCGGCTGGGCTCCGGGAGGGAACAAAAGGGGCCGCGCCGGGGCGGGCGTGGGGGGCGGGGCCTGGCGCTGCCGCGGCCGGGTGGGCAGGCGCGCGCCCGCGCGTCCTCGCGGTTCTCAGGCCGCGGCGCGGCGCCGCCAGGGGGCGGGCGGGCGGAAAATGCGGCGGAACCCGGTGCTCCGCGGGCCGCAGGCAGTTGTGGGGCATCCTGGTGCGCCAACACCCATCTAAGTGCTGGGCACTTATAGGCGCTCAAACCGTGTTTGGCGAAAGTACATCTCAAGGATGTTGCAGGCCATTGGGAGAGATGGAAGCTCGGGAAGCTGGGGGGAGGGAATGAGAGGTTCCTGGAGTTTCCGGGAAGACTTCACAGAGGGGGTGACATTCGGACTGGACAGAAAGGGATGAGGAGGGGACAGTATAGCCGAGTTAAGAACTAAAGTCTTACTGAGCTACCTTGAGACCATAGCGGGTGAGGATAAATGGCACTGCTGTCTTGGCGAATTGCTTCCAACCCGTTTTTAGAAAAAGTGGTACCCAAGATACAGATGAACCCTGCACCCTCCTCCCCGTGGCAGGATCTGTCTTCTGCGACATGGAGGAGTGGATACAGCTGCCCGGGTGCCTCCTGGCGAGAGGCCGAGGCTAAGTGGCAGCCCAGGAACCAGAAGTAACCGAATCCCAACACCTATAGATGCCTGTGTATGGCTGGCCTCTGTGGCTCTGTTTCTGTCTTTCCCTTCTTGATAAGGTAGCCTCCAGCCTTTGCCCCTGCTGGTTCTTTTACCAGTAGTGCCCTTCCCCCTTTCTCTGACAAATCATCCTTCCCTTCCCTTGAAAGCCCAGGTCAAACTCCCCTCCATTTCCCTAGAGTAGGGGAATGTGGGTGTGGGGGGAGGTTGTGGTCTGTACAGTGAGACTGGCCTCAGGGAGGGCAGGCACCAGGCAGGCTTGTTTATATCCCTATGGCACCTAGTACAGTGCCCAGCCAACGTCAGACACTCAGTGACACTGTTGAATGAATTTGCTAAGTGACCCCTACCATCCCTCCATTGCCCTGGTATCCATAATCTTTGAGAAATGAGTTAACCTCTTAAACTCAAGTTTCCCTGCTTCAATTCAATTCAGCACATGAGTAACGATGGAGGCTAGGCCCTGAGCAGCCCTGAGAAGGTCCCCATTGGTGGCGGGCAGGGACCAGGCCTGGAGACCAAGAGCAGGAGGGTGTAGAGTGAGCCAGAGAAGAGCAGGCTTCGGAGGAGGTGTCCATCTGATGGGATATGAGGACACTGGAGGTGGAGAGGGCTATTTTCAGGAACTGATGAGCTCATTGTTCCATGTGGCTGGGATAGACTATCTGGATATGAAGAGATAAGACACAGGCATAGTACAGTGCTAAAAATCCAGCTCCATCACCTACCAGTTGATGGGCAACCCTCTCTGGGCCTCAGTTTCCCCATCTATAAAATGGAGCTAGTGATAGACTACCTCTTAGGGTTGTCGTCAAGTTTGAATATGGTAATCCACGTGACATGCTTAGAACAAACAGTGCCTAGGAGTAGTTAGCATTCAAGAAATCTGAACCTGATTTTTCACAGAGCCAGGTCATGAAAGGACATAGGTGCCTATTAGGAGTTTGGGATTTTCTCCTGTGAGCAGGTGATTTCTAACAGGGACTTTTCTCACCACAGGGAAGAGGAGGCACAAAGAGTGAAGGGCAGGACATTTTCAGATTGCTCTCCTAAGTTTTTGCAGGGTCCTCTCCCTGAGGATAGTGTGTGGTAGGAAGGTCATGGGGGTCCTGGTGATGGAAAGCAGGTGGTACCCAATCAGAAGCAACTCAGAAGGTGCTCTGGGAAGCTTGTGGGGGCAGGCCCAGGAGACCTTAAGCGACCAGCTGGAAGGCTGCCGGGTCCAGGCTAGAGCTGGCGGGGCTGGGACACTGTGCGGGAGGGAAAGCAGCAGAGGAAACAAAGGGCGGGGCCCAGTCCAAGCCAGAGGTTCTTAAGCTTTTAGGGACACACACACCTTTGAAACTTTGAAATCCATGGAGACAAATGTGCAGTAGAGGCTTATGCACACACACACACACACACACTGGCATAGTACAGTGCTAAAAATCCAGCTCCATCACCTACCAGTTGATGGGCAACCCTCTCTGGGCCTCAGTTTCCCCATCTATAAAATGGAGCTAGTGATAGACTACCTCTTAGGGTTGTCGTCAAGTTTGAATATGGTAATCCACGTGACATGCTTAGAACAAACAGTGCCTAGGAGTAGTTAGCATTCAAGAAATCTGAACCTGATTTTTCACAGAGCCAGGTCATGAAAGGACATAGGTGCCTATTAGGAGTTTGGGATTTTCTCCTGTGAGCAGGTGATTTCTAACAGGGACTTTTCTCACCACAGGGAAGAGGAGGCACAAAGAGTGAAGGGCAGGACATTTTCAGATTGCTCTCCTAAGTTTTTGCAGGGTCCTCTCCCTGAGGATAGTGTGTGGTAGGAAGGTCATGGGGGTCCTGGTGATGGAAAGCAGGTGGTACCCAATCAGAAGCAACTCAGAAGGTGCTCTGGGAAGCTTGTGGGGGCAGGCCCAGGAGACCTTAAGCGACCAGCTGGAAGGCTGCCGGGTCCAGGCTAGAGCTGGCGGGGCTGGGACACTGTGCGGGAGGGAAAGCAGCAGAGGAAACAAAGGGCGGGGCCCAGTCCAAGCCAGAGGTTCTTAAGCTTTTAGGGACACACACACCTTTGAAACTTTGAAATCCATGGAGACAAATGTGCAGTAGAGGCTTATGCACACACACACACACACACACACGCACATGTACACGTTCAGTTTTGCAGACAAGTCCAAGCAGTTCACAGACTCCTTGAAGCCCCATCTGATCTTTACACCCAAGTTCTAGGGCTGAAGAGAGCTCAGAAAAAAACAGTGGCAGGCAAGGTGTAGCAGAAAATGTGATTTACACAAATGGTGGAGAGGAGTTCTGGCACTTGGACCCTGGAGTCACCTGTTCCTTCTTTGACACCTGAGGCTTCTAGAACCAGGAAAATAGCCAGAGTTCTCCAGACATCAGCCCATCAGGGATAGATTAAGAATGTTCCTTGTTGGAAACTAAGCCATCATTTTGTCCTGGCCCCTTCCTTGCACAGGTGGGGAAATTGAGGTCTAAAGAGAAGCAGGGATTTGCCCAGTCACACAGGTCCTGCTGTGATGCTCACGTGACCCTCCTGCCCTCCTCTCACCCAACCCCTCAGGTCCTGTCCTCACTGACAGCTGCCAGTGGTATTCAGAACAACACTGCATGCTGAGTACTAGGTTCCCTTACCTGGAATGGGGCAACTCACCTGCAAGGTACACTGTTTGCCCTTGCTGCTGCTCGGCTTGCTCCTGGTGAGAGAAGATACCACTTCTATCTCACTGAAACTTGGATTTGGGATTTCTGCTTCCTGCAGCCAAATGAATTTAGGGATGAGGAGAGTGGAGCTGGGCAGGGCATCATGCCTGGAGATGGGGAGACGGGAGGCAGGGAGGACTAGGGGTAGGGGGCTCTGCTCTCCCAGCAGCCTTTTGTCTCAACAGAAAGTGTTGATTTGGCCATTTTCTTGCTGACACTGGCCATGACTGGCAGCCCCACAAGAGGGGGGTTTTCACAGGAAGAGAGTTGGAAATAACCTGGGGCCCGGGGCAGAGCTTTCTGAGGCTGGCTGCCCTGCCGGTTTCTACCTCTCTGGTATAGTTTTTATTGTTTTATTTTATTTTTTAGAATCAACGGGACATCCACATGATGAAATATTTTACAGCCTCTAAACTGCACTTTACCAGGAATTTGTGAAAACATGGGGAAACACTCCTGTGTTTATGGCAATTGAAAAATATACGTCATAAAATTGTGGGTGCAGTAGAATCTCAACCTTGTAAACTGCAGAGGGAAAAACTGGTAGTAGCCCTGGTGGGCTTTGGGGGTGGAGGGAATCCGTGGGATTTTTCTCTCTCCTTTTCTGCATTTCCCTACAATAAACATGTGTTGCTTTTCGAACTAACAAAAGAAATTTAACCCAAGACCTGCTTCTGTTCAAATGATTATCTGAATGTTGTGTTTCTGTTAAAAACATTAAAAAATGATTGGACATGGCCTTGGTCTGGGAGTGACATCCCCATGGAGATACTACCAGAGGCTGTCACTCTGAAGGCCACACCCCTACTTCCAAACACAGGGACTTTGCCAGAGCCCTGTTGGTTGGGAAGCCAGGGCACCTCCCTCCAGGTTGGTACAGCCCATAATGGATTGAGCCCAGTGGAGAAAGAAGGTTTCCCCCACTGGGTGATGGGGCGCCTCTCCCTGTTGGGGTTTCCAAGGTCCTGGGGACTTTTTCCATGCAGCCTCCCTGATTGCCTAAGGACAGATGATAAACCCAGGCTCGAGCTAAGTGACCAAAAGCTGGCATTTCTGACTACTTACTACAGGGTAGGTTTCACGCTAAGAACTTTGCATGGATTGCAGAAATAAACGAAGGCCACCCAGATGAGAGCAAGCAGTCTGTTTATTCAGAGCTTGCAGTTAGCAAGGGAGTCAGCCTCATCACCTCTGTTTGGGAAACTCCCAGCAAGCAGGGGAGAGGGAGAGCTTCAAAAAAGGAAGGCGCAGGTGTGTCTTGACTGGAAGGTGTCGATGTGGGAAAGCAGGAGACAGCCTAACTAGAACTGGGATGTAGACCACCTTTGTGATAGGTGAGGGAATTATATCTGGCTTTTTCCACATGGTCCTAATTTGGAAGGGGAGGTAAAAACTCAGAAACTGGTAGTTCTTGAGCAAGTTCTGGACATTTAAGACTGGATCCCACTGGGGTTATCATTTGGCACCCTGGCCAGGAAGCTGCAGATTAGGGTCAGTTCCCTTTTTTATGTGTGGTCTAGCTGCTGTCCATTTACATATCCAGTCTCCCAGTATTAACTCGTGTGATCCTCCCAATTACTCTGATTATCATGTTGTTTTAGAGAGGATGAAACCGAGTCCCAGACAGGTTAAGGCACATGCCCAAGGTCACACAACTCAGGAGCACAAGGTTAGCTAGGCTTTAGAGCTGGGCTCTCCCAAGCCCGCGAGGAGAGAGCTGGGACACGATGCCTTTAACAATCTGAGCTCTGCAACTCCTCAACTTTGTGGCCCTGGGCAAGTAACCTGGGAAACCCGCCACCTGCACAGGACAACTGACAGAGCCACACCGAGGACCCTCCGCCTGCAAAGTACTAGTTGTACATGCATGTGTTGAGTGCCTACTCTGTACTGCATTTATTGTTTACTGTATACAGGGCATGGTTCTAAGCACCTAAGATCCTATAAACTCTTACAATCCTCAGGAACCCCTGTCACTGGGATCTGTTACTGGCCCCATCTGCCAATGAGGGTCTGAAATTCATCCAAGTTCACACAGCAGGTAGGAAGTGGTGCCATGTGGAATCCAGGCCCCTGGGGCCAGAGTTGGTGTTTTAATCCCTGTACTTCCTGCCTCTCAGATGAAGCAGTGGCTGTGAACGGGCAGCAGGGGGGCACCCAGGACAGTTCAGGCAGCACAAATCCTCAGCTGAGGCCAGTTTAAATTGGTTTCTTTTCCTTGGGTGGCTCCTGCAGGGCCTCTTCAAAAGGGGGCCTTGGAAACGGAATGTGGAGGAAAGAGCCTCTCCCTCCGGCAGTGGACAACATTCATGCTTCCTAAAGAGTCAGGAAAATATATCTAAGGATTTTGCTGCTGGTATGGTTCCAACAGGGTGGAAATCTGGCCTAGGTGCCCGTGGCCCTCCATTCTCCCCAGATTACTTTCCCCTTGTGTCCTCATCTGGCCCAGGCTAAGGGAAGTCTCTAGAAGGTGCTGGCTGCAGCGCCCCTTGGCAGTCCCTTGTTCTCCAACCTCACAGGCTTCCTGACGGCTGCTATTTCTCACTCCACCCTCCTGGTCTCAAGTTTGCACATCTGTGCATTGCATCACTAGGCTGAGGAGGTGACACACCCTGGAAGGCCGCTGGTCTGTGTTTCTGCCAGCCTCTTGCCTGGGGGACAGCCAGCGTTTTTCTCCCCAGGACCCTCCCCACTGACCCCTGCACCCTCCAGGGCTGTACTTTCTCTGTGGCCTGGGTCTAAGGGGCCATCTCTTTTTTGGGTCTTTCAAATCCTTCTGAGAAGTCACACCAATCACCAGTCACCCCCACCAAAAACTAAACTAGGGATGTTACCCATTTGTTATCTTACCGTGAAAAGTTCCTGGAAAAAACAACTGTGCTATTGCCATCATTTTCTACAAGAAGGGATGCATTAGCACCAGAAAAAGGTGAGAACATCATTTTGGAGTGAAGGATGGCCCTTTAAGTAAATCTGGCTTTCTGGAAAACTCTTGTTCACTTTGCTGCTGTTGTGGGGGAGAGCGGGACAGTTGGTCAAAGCGGGCAACTGTGCCTGGAACATGTGGGGACCAGTGTCCTAAGGAGGCTCCCTCTGGCGTCCAGATCCAGAATAGTGACTTTCCTGGTGGCGTCCCCACTTCCCCCAACCCCTGCCCCAACCCCGCTGGTGCTCTCAGCCACCTTGCTTTCCTGACAGAATTACACTGCCCTGTCTGCCTTTTCCCAGATCAACTCTCACATCCATTCCCACTGCCTTCTGGGGCCCCCTGAGTCCTGGATGTTATTACACCCACAGTGTCTGTGAGCCAGATGTTTGGGAAGCAACTACAAGGTCATTTGTCTAACCCCTGTTGCTTTTCAGTGGGAATGACAAAGTACCATTAGGCAAAGTGCCACAGGAAAAGTACCAACTCTCTTAAAAACAGCAGCCTCCTGTACCACACAGAGAAGACAGGTGGTGATTATACAGCATCTTGCTACGCTGATGGACAGTGACTGTAGTGGGGTGTCAGTGGGGGGGGACTTGGTGAGGGGGGGAGCCTGGTAAACATAGTGTTCTTCATGTAACTGTAGATTAATGATAGCAAAAAGAAAAAAACCAGTAGCCTCCTTTCTCTATAGCTTACCCCTGTGGCTTTACTATTCATAAACCACCCCTCATCCCACAGACATGGTCCATGTGTGTATAATATACAAAAATTAGAGCTCATATTCAAACTGCTGTTGTCCCAGCAACAAAATCCCTTTCACTGCTTTTAAATCCTTTAGCCCCTTTTCTGCACAATTATCTGTATCACTATAAAACTGCTTTGGAAACATACACATACATACACAGTAAGAAAAACTCTGATGGAGTTACTGGCCGAGTGCTTTGAGCCACATCTAACTCAATCGCAGATGACAATTCAGATATGCCTTAAAGAATAAGTGTGGCTGGCAGAGGGGATGGCCTGAAGGTGATGTTGGAAGTTCAGGCCTCCAGAGCATGAGGGCCCTGGGGCTTAGATGAGGGTCAGGGGAGGGTCTCGTATGACTGGGCTGTAGAGTTGGACTTTTTTCTAAGGGCAATAGGGAGCCCTGGAGGGTTCTAAGCAGCAGAGACATGAATTTTAGACCTGAGGCCAGGCTCCCTAGGCCATGTTGGGCCAGTGTGGTGACAGGTGGAAAGTGCAGGCAGTCAGGGAGCTGAGGCTGGGACAGTGGCTGTGTGGACAGGGAGGCTTGGCAGGAAGAAGGCTGACAAAGAACAAGTTGTGGAGGCTGGGACCCATACCCTGGGCTCCCAGCATCCCCCAGCAACAGGAGGCGCCAGCCCTGAGGCAGGGGAGGCTTTTGCTGCCTACAGCTAGTGCGATGGGAGAACCTCCATGGCCTGCCTAAGAAAGCTCCCAGCCACCTGGGGTGGTTGGCCTGCCTGGCAAGGCCAGGGATTAGGACACGCTTATTTCCAAGCCTGGTGCCCTGCTGTGAAAATCCGCATTCTCCCTGTGCTCCTGAAGGGATATTGGGTTACAGTCTCATGCTGTATGGACAGAGCTCCCCTGGCCTCAGGAATGGAGGCTGGGTGGGGAGAAGAGTGAAGCATGGACAAAGGTGGTTCCCAGGGGTCCCATTCGGGTGTGGGGAGCACCCCCCTGGGCATCCATCTGGAGCTGTGACAGTGATGCCAATAGGCCCTTCACTTGGAAGAAGCTGTCTGGGGGAAGGCTTAGTGCTGGAAGACAGAGGCACCACCTTGCAGTACACCAGCTGTGTGACCCTGGACAGGTGACTCGTGTCCTGGATGCACCCTCCCTGTCCACAAACTGGGAATGACAGGCTCCATCTCCACACATTGGACAGACAGACTCAGTCCCAAGTTCTAATCGCTCAGATGGAGGCACCACCAGGGCACTTGGAGCCATGACCAGTTCTCAACTGCAGGGCTCAGAAGAGGGTCCGTGTGCCAGGTAACTTTGGGCAGTGGGTCATTTCTGTGTGAAGCATTGTCACACCCATCTTTTCGTGTTGCTTGGACTTTGGGCCAGGAGAGGCAGAAGCAGTGATGTTAGTCCAGAGAGGTCAGCTCTGAAGAATGAATTTTTTTTGTCTTCAGCAAGAGGGAGGGTGTCTGTGAATGCTGTGGACAACTTGCTTCCTCTCCCCCAGCCTGAAGGAGCAGCCTATACGCAAACCTTCCATGGGACCCCATGATGGCTCCCTGCCTCAGTTTCCCCATCATGCCACTGCTGCTCCTTTTTCTTAGTCAAATGCCACCCCTGCCCTCCCCACAAGGTCCTAGGGCTGGTGCCCTGAGCAGCGCAGGGTGCTCCAGCCTGTGCAGGGGGATTGCTGCCCGGGGTGGGGGAGACCTGGGTCCCACAGAGCCTCCTCTCTACCACTCTGGCCTCCCAGATGCCACTGTGAACTGGAACTCCCAGAAGCCCTGGAGGAAGTTGGGAGGGCTGCCACCCATCAGGAGGGTGCTGTCTGCCAAAGTCCACCCAACGTTACCTACCAAAGGACCTCCATCTACTGATACCGAATCATAGGATGCTGCCTGCTCACACCCACCCTGCAGCTGCAGTCTCCCCAACTTTCTTGTCCACAGAGATCTCTGCCTGAGGC